AACAAGGAAGTTTCATACAGCTTATGTCAGCTGCAATGGGCTGGAACACTACAAACATGTGCCAGCCAAAGGCTTTAATGTTCAGCCCTGTACCAGTGCAGCAGCCTTGGCACTTGGCTTAATAAACGTCCCTGTCTGGATTCTACTGATGAGAGCACTTCAAGCTGTTGTCATTCACGTTTGGCTTGGGATAATTTTGGTACACCTCTGACAAACTGTGTATAAGGTGGCATAGGAGAAAGTGCTGGATGAGCACAGTAACTCACTCGCTCCAGCTCCACACTGCACACACTTTGATGTCACGTGAAATAAATGATGCAGCACAGGTACCACGTTCTGCCCAGTCACAGCTGCAGCCTCAGCTGCCATCCGCCTTTCATCTTTGTCTCCAGTATCCTGGCACTTACATCTGCTATGGAAACTGTCTTTGCAAACTCCACATGTCCTTTCACACACCTGCCACTGCCTAACTCAGTGTGCTGTGAGCTCTGCCCAACTGGAACAGATATCCTAACAGAGAGAAATCACTTCTGAACGGTGGAAATAAAGCCACTGGTGTTAGTCCTTTGAACTAGTGCATTAGCAAGAACAACCCAGGAGTTCCTGGGACCCATCCTCTACAACTTGATCACAGTTTTGTTAGGAAAGGCTGAAGTGTGGATTTATACCAGTATCTTTGAAGGGCTCTTTGAACTCAGGCGTATCACGGTCATCTTGCTTTCCTCACAGGTACTGATATAGTACATGGCTTTCAGGAACTGTTATTTAACAATAGATGTGCCAATGTAAAGGGAAATGGAAGAGCTTTCTTCTTACCCTGATCAACATCTTACCTAAAAAGACCTACATATTATGGATTTCATACCTGTACAATCACACATGGGGGTATTGTATAACAAAACTTGTGGGGTGGTTTTTTTTGTTTTCGTCTGACCCAAGTTACAGCGAAAACATTCCAGCATCTATTAACATTTTGGCATTGCTGGATCACTTATTAACAACTTGTTGCCTTAATCCCAAAACACACGACCTCACACTGTTTAAATGAATTAGCTGGAAAAGTCAAAGACCCATCTTCCACAGGACCTATACACAAAAGCACTTACTATGATATTTATCGAGTTGGATTAAGAACTTAGCACTTGTTTAGTGCTAGTAATACTGAAATAATTTCAGGTTTAGCTTCAGTAAAACAAACCAAAGTCTGAGTTCTTTGTAACAACATAACTGAAACATAATTGAATGCACCCTTGCATCTCACTACAACACAGTTCAATTGGTTTTAAAAACTTCAAGTATTTCACTTTCCAAATGACTCACCCTGCCAACTTTCTGTAAAGTCAAATTTGTTTGTGAATTAAACACTTGCAATCCCTGTTTGAGTCACTAAGCCAGACCAAGCAAATACTTGAGTCTGTATAATTAAGGAAAAGTCTACACATTTTCCAAAAATTTACCTCACTTAACTACAACTTCAGAGAATTGTCTAATACGTCATTATAAAATGAGTTACTTGTATAAAAACATGGACATCACCTTACAAATGGAGGCTTTGCTAACTGAACAGGCCTTAGGTCTGAGGTCTCAAATCCCAGAAAGTGTGACTGCTTTAGCCCTTCCTTATCGATGATCTCCCTAGCACATCTCAAGTTAACCATGTGTTTATATGCTTTACTAGATCAGGGTGATCAGATTTCCTTTCTAGTATTGAATTTAAACACAGCCCCTGATGTTGCCCAAGGAACACTCACCTTTTGAACAGAAAAAAAGGCTGAAATCTTCCATATTTACTCACAAAAATCTACGAGTGAAAATCATATCAGGACTACTGACTGCTCTTCAATCTGACTTTCAAAAGGATAAATTAAGGAATTAATTTTACAATCAAACACTACACTGGGAAGGACATTATTAGAATCTGATGCAGTTATCGGGTTTCAGGTGAATCCTTGGCTCCACATCAGAACCCGTAACAAAACTTGCGACAGTGAAGCTGCACTGCGCTACACTAACCAGACTTCCCACCAATGCAAGGCTCCCTACAATCACAGTGACCTCCCACTCTTTGTATGCTCTTCCAGGACTTTTGATCCAGTTTTCTGCTTGTAGCCTTTCAACCCTGAAGCATACGTGTGAAGATCCACTGTTAGTTTCTGGAAAGACACGCTTCTTTACAGAGCACCTACACAGTCATTTTCAAACCCAGAAAAAGCTCACAGGAGATGTAATCCTCCACAGTGAAGCTGAGTGTGGCACTCTATTTATGGCAAACAGATGGAGAGGAGGAAAGGTTGTGAATCCTAGAAGGATGCAGCAGTCACGATTTGGAAGTGGTCTATGAATTCTTACAACCAGAAGTTCTGCGAAAACGCGGGGATGAAAAAAAAGCTGATGTTAAGTCTCCTGTTATTTTAGCAGCATAGACATCAAGATGCAAGATCTTGGACTGGTTCCAGTGAGTAACTTGCGACTCTGAAACTTGATCTACTGTGAAATTTTGTGCCCAGAGAAATTCAGGAGAGGTCTTAATAACAGAATGCTGCTTAAGCTACAACAAAGTGTCAAGATTTTATCTTTCTAATATCTGAGAAAGAATGGTGTAAATTAGTTGCCACAACAGCATGAAATTATAGCCTTCCATAGCACACAACCTAAAACTATGCCACACAGCCAGACCATTTTATTGTGTGTTTGATACCTTGTTGGAAAAAATCCAAACACTATTTCTCTTCTTCAGCAAAACTATTATGTGGACTGAATGAGAGTCAGCATGTACACTCAGGAGCTATCTTGCCTTAACCTTTTTTATAATTTAGTTAGGACAGGACTGTGTTTACAATGCTATGGATAGACTACAGCAAGGGCCTCATCTTAAAGCTTATATTTTAGGGGTTGTAAGCCCACTAGATCATTTTGTTTCACTACAAGCAAATAAATGCTAAAACAAATACAAAGTCACAAATATACACTCAGGCAATTATGTCAACACACCTTCTTGGTGGCCACGTGTTATTTCAGAGAAACTATTAGAGAAAACACTAACATGACAGTACATGACTCTTCAACTAAATCAGTCCCAATCCAAAATTAATCATTTCCATTGCAGTAAAACGCTGTCCCTTCACCTGAACACTCAAGAACTTCTCACAGCTTACATCACTGTCAAACTTCTGTCTCTGATTGGACATCTCAACACAGCAAGTTCAGATGGAGAGATTAACAACTAATCTATGAATCTACAAGGTTCATACCCATCTATTGCAGAGGTCCTTACAGAAAAAGCTGGAGCACAGAGTTCTAGATCCTGAAGATAATGTGCAGACTTCTTCACTGAAGCCCACGTGCTTCTACCTAACAGGAACACAGTTTAACACTCCACGTATTTTACGGAGCCCAGACTTCTCCTAAGTGTGTACAGTAAAATTAAGACTTTGTGAAAGTCTAAATGCAAACACAAACCAACTAATCTATTAACAGTAACTACTGCACAGTGTTGCAGTCTTGTTAGCATTTGTCACTATCCTGAAAGAACAGACACAGGCATATTGTATAAACTGATTCACTCAAAGTAATGCTACAAGAAATGTATTAAGTATGAATACATGAGATGGCTTAGTATTGTTCACAACTTGCTCTGAGGAAGTTGAAATATATTATTAAGACTAGAAGTAGAATCAATTTAATAGAATACTTACATGCCAGAATGTGCCTCAGTGCGTTTATTTACCACGTAAATTTTATAATATGTAATATACTTTTTAGTAGTGTAACTTTTAAAGAAGAACAAGATATTTCCCAAAGTGATACAACTATGATAAGAGGAAAAACAGTCTTCTTTCCTTCTGCTTTCTCCTTTTCACCACTAATCACAGACTTGTTGAGATTGGAATGGACCTCTGGAAATGGTCTAGTCCAACTACCTTGTTCAAAACAAAGGTCGACTAGAGCAGGTTTCTCAGGGCTGTGTCCAGTCAGGTTCTGAATATCTCTAAGGATGAAACTCCACAATATCTCTGGGAAATCTGTTCCAGCATTTAAAGACTCTTCTTTCTAAAAACGTTTGCCTTGTGTTTAAATGGAATTTCCTGTATTTTAATTTTTGTGCTCACTGCCTCTTCTCCTCTCACTGGGCACTACTGGGATGGGTCTGCTCCATGTCTCCACCCATCAGGTATTCACAGACATTGCTCAGACACTACTGAGCTTTCTCTCCTTCATGCTGAACAGTGCCAGCCCTCTCAGCTTCTGTCTGTCAGATGCTCCAATCCCTCAATCATCTTCGTGGCCCTTCACTGACCTTGCTCCAGAACGTCCATGTCACTCTTTCACTGGAGTGCCCAGGAGTGGACATAGTACTCCAAATGTGGTCTCCAACACTTATGGTACAGGGGAAGGATTGCTTCCCAACTTGCTGGCCAGTGCTCTTCCTCCTGCAGCCCAGGACGCTGCTGGCTGCATTTCCCACATCCATCACCTTTCTAGGTGACTGAGGTGAGGTTGCCTGGCCTGTAGTTCTACAGACACACCTTCTTGCCCTCCCTGAAGACAGGGTTGACATTTGCTTTCTTCTAGTCCTCAGGAACCTCTCCTGATCACCATGATCCCTCAAAGATAATGGGGAGTGCCCTTACACTCAGCACTCTCAGTTGCACACTGCCAGATCCCATAGACTCACGTGTGCCACTGCAGGCAAGGCTGCCCCAGCCTTCACATCCCTGGCCAGTTCTCCCTGGTTTGCACATATCAGGACCAGCATTTGTATCCATTCATTGCAGCACTCCAGAAATGGAAGCTATCCCACTACATCTCTGCAATCCCAATGACACTGAAAACTGCACACATAAACCCTGAAACTGCACGCAGGCCTTGAATTCCTTCTGCATTAAGTCAAAAATTGTTTTAAAATCAGTTATAATTGGCATCTTTAAAATAACCCAGTTATACTGCTGCCCAAAAGAATAATCACATACACAGAAGAACTCCTTCAACAACAAGAGAGGAAAGGAAGAAACAATCCTGTGTATTTTATTGGTATTAAGTACAGTCCCGTTACAATTGATTAAAGATGACTTTTTCTTTTCCCCTTTTTTTTTTTTTTTTTTTTTACTAAAATGTAACATAGAAAAAAACCATAAAAAACCTGATTGGTCAGTTAGCTGAAACCTATTCACAAAAATAATAAAAAAAAAAGCACAAAGCAATCTGCTTTGGACATATGTCTACATAGAATTTCACATTTATGGCTCAGTTTGCTCCAGATCATAAGAACACTTTTTTTCTGAACTATGACTTCTTTCTGCACAAGGATCCAATACCAGCGTTGCTCCTGGGCTTAGAAATTACCATAGGTGCAGATGCATGTGGCTGACAAGATACAGGTCTCTTATTCTTCTTCATGGTGAGGACACAGTCTTCCTTTGGGGGAGGAACATGGATTGGTTTCCAAGGAATGGGGTTACAAAATGCTGGGGCTGGATATGAATTTCTGTCAGCAATCCCTAAAACATTTAGAAAATACACGTAACTAAAAATGAATATTTACACTGCAAGCTTTTATAATAATAAACAAGCAGTTATAATATTCATCTGGATTAACAAAGACACAACAGCATCTTCAGAGAAAGACAGCACAGGCACATCACATAATTTAAATTATTCAAGATAATAAATACTCCACCTTTTTTTTTACCAATAACTGGTGTATTGCTCATGTTTACTAAAATAATAAGCAAGATGAATGCTCAGTCCTTGGCATACTTAAAAGCTGTAAATGTCTATGAATTGGCTACTTTGTTTACCCAACCACATGATGGATACACTTCAAAGTCTGTGATATATTCTGTTGCATGAACACAAGTGAGTAGAGAAATATTTTTCAAAAATCATTTCAATAAATGATGGCAGTTGTCAGTAAGTAATGAAGGCCCAAAACAAAACATGAAGGCAAAGTGTATCACTATCTATAAATAAATGTACGCAAAAGAGTAAAGGTTGTTCACTGGCTTTACACATGTTTAAACATTCAGAATTTTGGTCCCAACATTATTTCTGTTTTGAATTCAAATAAAGGCAAGTATTTTAATTGTACAAAAAAGGGAAAAAAAAAGGAAATAGCATATTTATCTATTTTTAAAGAAAAAATAAATTAAAATATAATAAAGCACTCAAACATGTAATGCAATACCACTTCTTGCTGCTCTTCTGCTTTTGTACCATGTGGGGTGACAGAAGCCACCAAAAATAGTGAGACTTGTAAAACACCACACTATTAACAGCATTCTCTTTCACACTAGGCTTTCAAAAAAAAAGGAACAGGATTACAGAGGCCAAGGAGGGGCAATGCAAGGGAAAAGCAAAATGGAAAGGAAATTGTAGCTCACAATAGGTTGATTCCCATGTCTCCTTTCACAGACAGGACTTCTGTCAGTCTTCTTGTGCCTCACAACCCCACCTCTTTTCTAAGGGGGATTCCTGTGTGCTAAGCTGGCACACGCCTTCTGTGGCACAAACATCACCTTTACCAGGATGATAACATAACTGATCTGCTTCACGGGAACCAGTGATTGGCTCTGGTGATTCCTGTGCCCGGTAAAAGAGCTAAGAAAAGTGCACAAAAGGTCTCAGAGTATATTTCTCTGAGTTATACCACATGAGGTAGTCATCCCTATGTGCCAAAATTAGATACTGGATAAGTATCTCAAACAGGCTTCATTTTACATGAAAATATTAGAGGGAAGGAACCACAAATCTAAGTCACTACATATTTGTGTACTAGAAGTACAAACCTCTGGACTTCCCATGTGGGAAACCAAAATCATTTAAAACAGGGCGTGGTTTATTTCTAGCATTTTGCAGCCATTCCTTAAAGATTTTCTCCGATCTTGTTTTCTTCTCCTGTAGCTCAGCTTCCCGTTCTTTTTCTTTTTCCTATAAATAAAAAAAAATCTAAGATAGACAAAGCTTTGTACAACATACACAAAATGGTAAACAATTTTTTTGCAGATTTCCAGGCTGCTGAATATATTTCAAATGTCTTCAACTACAAACACAATCTCCCCAATGACAGAAAGGATGCAATCTTTTCAGTCTGAAAAAAATTTTCAAAAAACCCAACCTCCATGTTTACTCCACTGTTTCTGACAAAAAAGCTCAAAGGCTATAAAAAAAAATGCATTAATGTGTATCTTGCTTTGCTGAACACACCACAATGTCTTCAATGCACTAACATTGCAACTTTGAAAAGTTTATTTTTCATGTACAACACTGGCATTTGATATCAACATATTTAATACAGGTTACAGATTAAGTAACTGCATCCAAATAAATGATCAGCTCATTAATACCTTCTCTTTTTTCTTCTTTTCAGCCTCTTCAGCTCTCTTCTTCTTTAACCATTCTTTATACTTTACCTCAGCCTTTTCTTGTAACTGCATTTTTTCTAGTTCCCTTGTGGCTTTTTCTGCCATTTCTTTGCTCAGTTTTCGTTTCTTTTCTCTCCTTTCCTGTGTGAAACATACCAAAGGAACAGAACACAAACTTTTCAGTACACTTCCATGAGCAATTCTTCTGAGGAATACAGTTAATTTTACTACATAATTACAAATAAAATTATCATGAATCTGAAAAAATATGTAACATTGTAACCTCTTTGAAGACAGAACCTATTCATCTTTAGGTTCCAGATAAAATAGCTTTGGACACATAAACCTGTCAGAAAAACATGATAAAAATTTTACTTTCAGGTCTCCATATACTATTATGTTTAATATTCTGTTTTATTTATTCAGACATTTGTTAAAACACTTCAGACACTTCTCAGTATTTCTGGCAAAGAAATATATGTTTCAATTCTCAACAGTGGTGTGTTAGTTCTACTTGTCAGTGAAATCTAGAGCAAACTACAGTTCCAAATGGAAGACAGGCAAACTGTCCCCTCCTAAGTCATTGAGATATGCAGATTGTTCAGCACCCTTGAGCATAAATTGATAGGAAAATAAAAAGTCCACATGAAAATCCAGTTCATGTCCTGTGGAAGTCTCTAAGTTTTTTATATTCTTCAGTTCATTCATATAGGGACTACTTCACTGAATCCATCCACATGTTTCTCCTCTCAAAATTATCAAAGGGAAAACGAGAAAACACGTTCTAGGGAAGGAAAAGAGTGGTAACTGAGTGTGAAGTGAAATTGCTACCTGACCTGCATGATTTGGGAGACAGAACATGCAGAGGTGTCATTCACTTCTGCTTCTGTTCAGTGTGTGTGCACCCAACGGGACCCAACATTTTGGGGACCTTGCTCTAAGCAAACAACCACGTGCTGATGGCCTGGTCTTGATCTGGAGAGGGAGGTATTTCCATTTGAAGAGGAACAACAGCTCTTCCTTCCATTCCCTGTAACCTTTATGAAATGTCTGGAATTCTATCGATTCCATACTACTCCTGCTTAGCTCGCTTAGCTCTGAAGCAGCTGCATACACGTGTAGAAGCAAAAATCTACCAGACAAGCTGTGCATGTGACTTGGAGGAGAGGCAGAAGACTTAAGAGCAGTTTCATCTTTATAGAAAAGAGCTGTTGAAAAAAAAAATTGTTGTTTTTCTTCTAAGAAACCTTTTACTTGTATGCTTCCATGCGTACTCTTCTGGAACAAAGGAGATGTGTAGTTCAGCAGAAACTTAGACTGACTCAAAATTGCTATAGTTGGCAGTATGGATGTAAAATGCCTAGAACTACAGCTGCAAAGTATAATAAAAAAATGAAATAGAGGAAAAACACATTCACAAGAAAACCAGAAATATACCCCCATTCCCATTTTACCATTATATATCGCCATTTTTCCCATTATAAGCACAAGAAGGCAGAAACTAGAGCTCTCCCATGTCTCCCTCCCCCATCTTTTCCCCCAGACTTACTGCCTTTCTGCAAAATCCAATTATGCATAACGAAGCAGAAGCCATAATACTGGAGCTGGGGACCAGCACGATTCCCTCAGTCAGGTCTAAACAGGATATCTGATGGTTCAGTGCTTGTCCCCCACACCAAACTTACCAGCAACCCAATAAAGTAGCATCATACAGAATAAAAACTTCAGCTTATATTGCCCTGCAAGACACTACCTCATTTCTACCAGAAAAGAAACCAATTTACAGAGCTGCTTGAGTTAGTGTGTCTTGTTCTGTGTTTGCCAACACAAGAAGCATTACCACAATTTTATCAACCAGCAGCTAAACTATTTCCCCTCCCCCCTCTTAGAAGCTGTACTTTATTAATTCTGCTATAATCTCTGAGGTGGATGTTTCTTCACCTAAATCAGAATGATACTTTCAGTACTACTGTTTTGGTATACTCTTGTCAAATAGTCTTATTTGACAACAAAGATTTATTTAATGTACACACTGCTCACAATTTCACAAAACTATTACAATTAGCTAATAACTCTGTTTTCTCCTTTTTTTTTTTGTTTGGATTTTTTTTGTTTTGTTTTGTTGTTGTTGTTGTTGTTTGGTCTCTCTTGTGTTTGTTTCCATTTCACTTCTAATACATTCTAGCAAATATCAGCTGAATCTGTGCTGTAGTGTAGGGAAAGTGGTCCAATATGAATACATTCCAATGTCAGTGTACATTCTGGAATGCAAAACTCCATAGAATTACGATGTAATTGAAGTCTTATTAATATGATTTCGCAGCACTGAGGCCTGTACATGTAATAAAATTATTTACAACTAAGACCAATGAAAAAGAGAATTTCGTTTTGGAAAAAAAAAAAAAAAGTTGAGATTCTGAAATGTTTTTGTACTAGTAGAGAATGGAAATAAGATCTTTCTTAACATGAAACAAATGTTTCCATCCTTAAAAATGTTGAAGAGGAAAATTAATGTATTTTTGACAAATTATGCAGTCTATCACCTTCCTGAAAAAAGCAAATAATCCATTGTCTAAGCTCTTCCTCCTTCATCATCTAAAATTCATCCTAATCTCATTTATCCAGAGCTGTTTCTCTGTCTCTCCATTACAAATATTCCCCACATGCACCTCTCAACAACTCCTGTTTCAAGACAGTGGCAGTCTGTGACACAAAAGAAGCATTAACATAGATGAGATAAAGGTTAAATCAGTGAGTCAAACTATTGGTGAAGGTGGCTTACAAAGACTTCACATATTTTGTTGTTTGCTGACTTACCTCTGATGTACATGAATGTAGGTTACAGAACTAAGGATCTTCCAAAACTACAGTCTTTAGCTAAAGTCTTGGCATATAAAAGGCATGAAAACAAACACAGGACAAAACTGAAAAAAGTGGGAATACCTAGGGGAATTGTTCAATAATGGAAAACTATTATAAGCAGCAAATAGACCTAAAATCTTTCTAAATGCTCCAAATGAAATGCAGGGAAGCTTCTGAAATTATGTATCTTTAATCACAATACTTCAGATGAGTTTAGCTAGTATCTAGGCCAACCCAAAGTTAAATTAGGTCCTATGTAAACAATAATATGCCATGCACACTACCATGAAAGCCACAACAATTGCTAAGTTTTACTTCCAGTGAGACATCGTTAAGATGGGGAGACTCCCTGCAGAACTGCAGACTTTGCAGCTGCCTAGAAATTATTCTGCAGACAAATCAGAAACGCTTCCTCTTTCTCTCACAATCAGAACAGCTTTTCCTTCATAAACTTAGTGTACACCACATTCCCAGCTGCTTTAGGAACCTGTTTCATGTCAAACTCCTGTCACCCTGGCCTTCCCAGCTTCCCCCCCTTACTCATTACTTTCCCTTATACAGGTCTATCAAAAATGCTGTGAATGTGCATATTAATGTACATGTTCTTCAATCCTTCTTTTACTTTTCTTCCATGTATATATGGGAGGGAGAGACCACTTGTTTATGCTTGGTGTTGTCAGATTGGGTTTTAAAAATTCTCTTTGATCTTGTGTTCAAAACAGACATGATCTATTCGCTAAACCACTAGTAAACTTACATACATTAAAGTATGATTACAGGTATTACATAAACTAAGGTATTGATTGTAAAACATCCAATTACTCATTGCAAGAAAGGCTTGTTCTCCTGCCACCCTGCCCAAGCACGTAATTAAGGAGAGGATACAAATCTACTCTGAGGGTTCACTGCTCTGGGCTGTGATCCTATCAAGCCTCAGAACCTAATGAAGGCTGGGCTAGGTCTGTACTTGGAAATCCCCCACCCAAACCAAATCGTTCTGTCCCACAAAGCAGTGATGGTGACTCAGTCTCACTGAGTCAGGATTAACTACTAACTTTTCAAGAAAAATCAGACCTACACGTATGTGGCGAGCGGTCACAGGATTTTAAAATTTGAAGCAGCACCCCACTTCCTTCTTGACAGAAGGCAGAAATGTTAAATCATTTTCCATGCAGGAAAAAAAGCCTAACTGCCTTAGAATCGGAGGCACTATATCCAACTGGAAGAAAACTAATAAAATATATACTTCTGTATTTTCACATCAATGCTTAAATGAGAGGCTGGAGAGGGTAAAGCGCAGAGATGCTTCTGTTCTGCGTTTTCTATGTAGATTGACACTGAGTAGAAATATTTCCAGAAATTAATGTTGTGACTTCTGTGACTTCTCACAGTAATCCTTTTCCACTATATGTCTGCAGACTGTGACAACATTTTTCTTCTCACAGATAATGGTTCTATTTCACAGCTGTTTGCCCTGACATCTTAGCTACCATATTCTAGCATGATTTAATGCTGACTGATGGCAAAATATAGGAAAAGTCCACACTGCCAACATCAGAATATACATCCAAATTTCCTTGTTTATCCTCATACTAATCCTGAACATCAACCACATTTAGCAATCTTGGAAATCTGGGTTGTTCAGACAATTGTAATTATCTTCTGCATTTTACCCTATAACACAATTTGGTCACCAAACCAGCCCACAGAAGTACTTCTTTAATCTCTCCTGAACTGGCAGGTGTAAAGAACAAGAGGCTAGAGAAGAGGTCAGTGAAACAACACTGAGCTGCAGTTGTCTCCTGGTAGGCAGGTTTACAATGATTTACTGCTCAAGTTCACATAAAGTCAGTGCAGACCCCACTGCAGTCTAGGAACTGGAGAATTATTGGATCTTTCTCCCAAACCATGCTCACTTCATGTGGGTACTCAATGTATGTGACAAGCAGGAAGTTTTAATGTACTTGGTCCCTGGAACACTCTCAGGGTCTTCAGAAGAATGCAGAGTCCACAAATGCTGCTGAAATACATGAGCACTCATATTTTACTCATCTGTCACCCTGAATTCCTCCTCCACAGCTCTATCTAAAACTCATTCTAACACTAACCACGAGAAATTAGTTCATTCTACTTACAGAAATCTAAAGGTAATTAAGATTCAGGTACAACCTAAAATAATAACTATGGCACTGGTTAGGCATGATGTCACAGAACAGTTTTGTGTAAAGACACTCCAGGTTCAGAGAGTGAAAGATCCACAATATGCAGAAAAATATCCT